TGCTGGCTTATGAAGACAGCTTGTATTTGGATGAAGCAGCGTCTGCACCTGCAATTCCTGAAGGTGTTCCCTCTGATGCAAAGAGTAAGGATGGAGTGTTGGTGGATGAATTTGGATTGCCTCAGATTCCTGCTTCATACACTTCCATCATTCATATATACATTGTGTAAAATAAACATGTATTCTGGGAACTGGGAAATCACTTTCCAAATTTGCCATAACAGATTTAGGTTTCTTTCCTTTCTTTGAAGGAAAGTTCATTACTTTGCTCTTTTTTTTCCTTTAAGAAACTCATAACTGGAGGGATGGTTTCTTCGTACTGAATTTTGATTCCTTTTCTCTTATGAAAGACTAACTTAAAAAAATCATTAGCTGTGTAAGACTTGTTTTCTTTCATTAATAATTTGAAACAAAATTAAGGAAATGGGAATCTTAAAATTTTATGAAAATATAACTCCACAACTTCAACATGACCTGATGTATTAATAAGATGAGATCATTGGGACTGTTCACTTATGATTCAAAACCATTTTCTATTGTATCATTATGTTGTTGTTGTTAAGTACCGTTGAGTCAGTTCCAACTCATAGTGACCCTATGTAGGGTTTCCAAGGAACAGCTGGTGGGCGTTTATAGGTTGGTCAAAATGTTGACCTTGTTTGATGATTTTTGTTGTGTTTTGTGAACAAGTCCTTACTGTTGTCCAGTTTTGGAATGAAATGTTCATTACTGTTTCATGAGTGGATATTTTTATTCTGTGGTTCCTTCAGTTATTACAGCCTGACTTGTAATCAATAATGAGTATTTCTTGTTATTTAATGTATAGGAAATTTATTTTTGCGTAATAATATTTTCAAAAAGAAAAAAAATGATACATTCAGCCACCATCTTATTAGTTCAACTGGGAGCTTTATGGACTAAAATACATTACCCTATGTTTATCCCATGTTTAACTGGTCCGGTTCCGGTGTGCAGTGAGTGAGTGTCTGCTGGTGCCCTTCCTGGTACTTACCCGTGTCTGGGGGTTTAAGGGCACTGCACCCACTTTCCCAACTTCCCCAGATGCTGCAGATGCTTCCAGGGGCAATGCGACAGCCGTCCCAGTCCACCTGCTCGCTGCAGCACTGCTGTGGGCTGCACCTGGTCTTGGTGAATTCACAGCACCAGGAGCCCCCAGTCCCACCGCTCAAGGACCCCCTACCTCCCTCTGAGTAAAGTAGAAGAGGAAGCTCCTCTCGTGTTTCCCTGAGCGCTCCAATTCCTCAGCTCTCCACGCAAAGGCAAAGGAGCGACCCCCACAACTTCCTCCAGACATGAACCAAACAGTTGGAGCCTCTCGTAACGTCAGGTGTCCCCCCAGTGAAAGGCCACAAGCAGCAAGAGCAGCGAGAACTTCGAGCAGCAGCGAGAACTTCAAGCAGCAGCTAGAACTTCGAGCAGCAGCGAGAGACGTGTAGTGAGGAGCTCCAACAACAACAACACAGAATATTGGGCCACAAGGCTGTTTAATGGAAAACCTCCTCTCTCTCACGTGGAGGGCCTGGAGGATTTGAGCTGCTGACCGCGGGGTTCACAGCCAGATTTTTAACCACT